AGCACCATGGGTGGAAATCTTCTCTACCTGACCGGCATGGTCGACAAGCGGACGATGGAAAAGTATGAGCGCGAGGCCAAGGAGGCTGGTCGAGAGTCGTGGTATCTCAGCTGGGCACTCGATTCGACGCCCCAAGAGCGCGCCAAGGGCAAGACTGTCGAGGTCGGTCGCGCCTACTTTGAGACGGACTTGCGGCGATACACCATTCTCGACGCCCCAGGCCACAAGACCTTTGTTCCCTCCATGATCTCTGGTGCCGCCCAGGCCGATATCGCTATTCTGGTCATCTCCGCCCGCAAAGGCGAGTTCGAGACTGGTTTCGAAAAGGGTGGGCAGACCCGCGAACACATCATGTTGGTCAAGACAGCCGGTGTATCCAAGGTCATCGTCGTCATCAACAAGATGGACGACCCGACGGTAAACTGGGACAAGGGGCGCTACGAGGAGATTCGGGATAAACTCATTCCCTTCATCCGTGCCGCAGGATTCAACCCCAAGACAGATGTTACCTTTATCCCTGTTTCTGCCTTTACCGGTGCTAATCTCAAGGAGCGAGTGAGCAAGAGCGTCGCGCCGTGGTACTCGGGGGTGTCCTTCCTCGAACACGTCGATCACATGCCGATGGTGGACCGCAAAATCAACGCGCCGCTGATGATGCCCGTGGCGGAAAAGTACAAGGACATGGGCACGATTATCGTCGGCAAGGTCGAGTCGGGGCATATGCGCAAGGGTGACGCTCTCATCCTGATGCCCAACAAAGACTCCGTGGAAGTTGCGGCCATCTACAACGAGATGGAAGAAGAGGTCAACGCAGCGCTTTGCGGGGACAATGTGCGGATCCGTCTGCGGGGTGTCGACGACGAGGACATCAGCCCCGGCTTCATGCTTACCAGTCCGAGCAAGCCCATCCACGCTGTGCGCCAATTCCAGGCAGAACTCGCCATTCTGGAACACAAAAGTATCATATGTGCGGGATACTCGGCTGTGATGCACATTCATACGCTGTCCGAGGAGGTCACACTCACGGCACTGCTGCACTACTTTGACAAGGCGACGGGTCGCAAGTCGCGCAAGCCTCCCCAGTTTGCCAAGCGGGGACAAAAGATTGTTGCCCTCATCGAGACGACGGCACCAGTCTGTGTCGAGCGGTTTTCTGACTACCCGCAGTTGGGTCGCTTCACACTGCGAGACGAGGGCCGCACAATTGCTATTGGCAAGGTGAGCATGCCTTTTTTATCGTGGACACCATCTAATACTTTCTAGATAACGAAACTGGTCGAGGGAACCATCGAGGAGGCGGCGGAAGGTGTAGCTAATATGTCTGTTGCAGACGCGTGAGCGTGTATTTACTAGATCACATACTTTGTTGTACCAATACAATGTCCTCGCTCAAGCAACTGCTTGCGGCTGGCGCTTGTCTCGTCGATACTACCCCTGGCCCGGACTTGAAATCCATTCTTGCATCGCGCCTCACTCGTTGTTACGAATGTCTCGAAAAAAATGAGGTCGTCAACGCGTCTCAAGATCTCGAGTTGGCCACAGCCGTCGAGGCCCTCGACATCGTGGAGGGCATTCACAAGATACTGGCCAGTGAAGACACGCCTTTTGGTACGAGGGATCTGGCCCAGCTGCGTACTCTGCTCGCTGTCGCGTTCAAATGGGGCGTCGATCCCGCCATCCGGTCTCCCGAGCACCATGTCCGCTTGTCCAGCATGGTGTCCCGACTATTGGATATCGCCCTTGCGCTCGATGAACCGACATTCGTCACGACTTCGCTGCTCAACCGACACCTGGATCAACTCTTGAGACCGTGCATTACGATTGGATGGAAGGCCTCTGAAGGCGAAGTCCGCTCCAGGACTGTCCGTCTACTCGGCATGTACATCATATTTACTCGTCATTGCGCCCATAAGAGTTGAAATGCCTCCAGTCTGTCCCCGTCTCAGACGATCACTGCCCTAGGTGCGGTTTTGTCGATAAAACCGGCTCCAACCTACGTCCGCAAGGCATGCGGAAGTCTCTTGAGCAAGCAGCTCTTGCGACCGGATGGTGTTCGCGGATTATGCGAGGCGGTGTTTGGAGAAGAGACAGACGACGTTCAGCTCGAGAAAATCGAGCACGTTGCGCGCGTATTGACGACAGCACCGGTGGCCATGTCCGCAGAGGACTATTACACCACCATTACACCGCGCGTGCTTGAACTCTTGTCAGATCGTGCTCCCCAGGCATACAGGCGGGCGGGAGCCTTTTCTATATCGCGTATGCTGGAAACCCCTGCCGCTCCTGCGGTGTTGGCATTTTTGCACCCGCCGTTCCTTTCCCTCACCCCGCCGTCCCCGCCGCGAGAGACGCTCTCCATCATTATGAATCTCGTCACGAATACGGATCCCTCCCCGACCCTTATATCGTCGCTTCTCTCGCCTATCGTCTCGGCATTGTACTCCTTGCTCTATCACTTGGATCAGGTCAAGACGTCTGATCCCAGCTTGAAAGAGATGCTTCGCGGTCTTCTTGGGACCTGGGGAAGGGTTGTGGGCTCCGCGGAAGGCGTTGAGATTTTATGGTCCGTGGTGGAGGGTCAAGGCGGTTCGTGGCGTGTGGATCTGGAAGGCAACATTACTCGGTTGGAGCAGTCTGAAAAACCGCCGTCTCTGGACCTCATGACGCCAGCCGACGAGGAGATTGATCCAGACGCTAATATCCTGGACCTGTACCCGGATCCCGCCCATTTTGCCCGCTTTCTGAAATTCATCCAGCGCATGGATGTGTCTTCTGATCTTTTTGTGCGGCTGCTGGAAGCCTATCGTGAGTCCAAGTCGGATGACGAGAATCCCACACAGTTAGTCGTTCCAAATATCCATGATGACATCTCATTTTCTACAGAACATTGTTGTACCTGCAGCTCGTCGTCCAGCTGCAGACTTCCACTACACTCGGGAAGCCGGCGCACATCTTGTCTTTTATCAAACATACTCTAGAGCGTCCGGAACAGCCCAAGCCAACGCCAACAAAGACAGTGCCCTATCAGCTCGATATCGAAGATGAGGGCGGCGACAGCGACGACGATACGCCCGGCGCAGACATCATCAGCCCAGATGATGAGATGATCGAGACTTCGGTGAACCTGCTTCTCGCAGTGCTCGAAGCCAACGAAGATCTCTCGGCCAGGACCGACCCCATTCTGAACGACATATTCTCTCTGTTGGAACCATTGGCGCTGACGGGATCGTCGGAAATTCAGCCACTGGCTCGGGAAGCAAGGATGGTCATGACTGCCCGTCTCGCTTCGACGTCTGCTCCTAGACGACGCAACGAGAAGGACGACAATCAGGAGACTTATCAAAAGGCCCTAAAACTCCTCCAGGATCCCATTTTGCCCGTTAGAGCCCATGGGTTGCTGCTATTGCGGCAGCTGGTCGCCCCGAAATCATCCCTCGATCCAGCGCTTGTTCCCGCTATACTGTCGATATTCCTGCAGTCCGTACAAGAGGACGACTCGTACATGTTCCTCAACGCCGTACAGGGTCTTGCGGCCATGGTGGATACGTATGGGAAAAACGTATTGAGCGGACTCGTGCAAGAGTATGGTCGGAACTTGGAGGGGCATATGGTTCAACACGACATGGATGTGCGTACCCGCGTCGGGGAGGCTTTGGCCTCGGTGATCAAACGGTGCGGGTCTGCTTTACCTGCATACAGCGATATACTGGTCCCTCCGCTCCTCCATATCGTCCGGTCATCGCAGGTACCTACAACCCTCCGAACATCAGCACTGTCGTTGTTGGCAGAATGCGAAAATACTTGTCCATTGGCGCTGGCAGTGTATTCGGCGGAACTCTCGGAAGCCATGATCGACTTGCTCCAGATCGAGAGCACATCCACTGTGTCTACGGAGACGGAAGACAGCAATCCGACGTCAAAAGACCCCAAACTGCCTTCGTTTCGACGAGCAGCAATACACTTTTTGGGTATTCTCATCCGACAAACGACCAACGAGTCGGGGAGGTTGCTGAATCGAATCAAAATCACTCTCTCGTACGTGGCAGCGACGGACGCAGACATGGTGGTCAGAGTCATGGCACGGGAGGCCGTCGAGGAACTTTCTGAATTGTTATTAGATTGAAAATATCTACCCCGTATCTGTCTCAGACGCGGAGAGCTCGAGTCGACTGAGTCAATAGGAGGGTACAATGTCGATGTTGGTTCTGCCACCAAGAAGCGGCAAATGGGTGTGAATGCGCTTGCAATGGGGGAGAACCGGACTAGATGGGATTGCCAACGGCCTTGCTTATTTCCTCGATCCGTCGACGGAAGCTTTTTGAGCGGCTGACATCGGTATTCCCGTCGTTGAATGGATTTGAGACGGCAGAATAGTAAGCCATGTGAAGTGCTTTGAATATCTGAGGGAGGTGAGCATAAAAAGAAGAGAGAGAGAGAAGCACGAACCAAGTTTATTTCCATGTCGCGGACAACCGAGTCTGACAGAGCCAGGGCAATGACAATCTTGACCTTGAGCGGAGTAATGTACCCATAGACTGCGACATCTTGCATGGCGTATAAAAGGCCCAGGTAGCACTCGGTCGTTTTGCCGCCAGCGGCCACTGGTTGTCGGTCAGAAGGCGGACACGCACGAGACGAACAAGCTTCAACCTCGCTCTTCTATCACATCGAGTGAGGTGTGGGCGATGTAATGGTACTTGATAGCATTCGAGGAAAAAGTATGCACGAGGATTGGGTGGTTTTGGGCCGAGATGAAGGCAACTGCGTCCAGTACTTTGCGGCTCATGACAAAGTGGTTTCCGATCATTGTTGCGATCACCTCAATTTGGTCGAAGGTTAACGTTCAACTTCCTCCACCCAACCTTCACTAGTCTCAGTCTGTAGAATGTTGCCGAAACATCCAATTTGCATGGCGCATTCGGTTAAATGGGCTTATCTGGGGATTATCTGAAACTCAATCACGATAGGCCGATCATGATGAAAAGATTCCCCCCAATAACCCGACTTTAGCTCAGTTGGAAGAGCATGAGACTGTAATTGGCTAACTCTATCTCAGGGTCCTGCGTTCGATCCGCAGAAGTCGGATTATTTTGGACCTTTTTGTGCGTTTGAAAAACCCCCTACCGAGCGCCGGAACTCTAGTGTATTGAAATCCGATGTTATGACATTTTTTTCGCACCAACGCAAGCGAACTGGGAGAGGTAAAAATTGCAGAGGTCTTTCAGGAACGCAAAGTTGCTTATAGGCCAGCTCAACATGCAGACCAACATGAATTTCACATATGCTCGTGTTCTTGTCCTATACAAAACGAAATTAAGCAGAGACTAGCGGTACATGCATTGGGTTATCATGAAAGGTCATAGTGACCGTCGGGCCAGTCAACTTGGAACCTGAAGGATCCACAGAAAAGCAAATCGACGAGAAGGAAAACATAAGAATCGTTCAAAATTGGTTTTGCCGTCAAGAAAGAAGAGCCAAGAGTCAAGGTACCCAGAAGGCTGGACTCGAGAACAAAAACATGGCCAGGTAGAAGTTAGTCGAATTGCCGCGGAGAATATGTATCAATGGACAGAGATACCCTTCTTGTACTACAGCGGCGGTGTAAAGGAACGACCCGAACTGAAGAGTCTCGCAGATGACGATGAGTCACGATGTTGCTTGGTGAAAGGAAGTACGAAGCCCAAACCCTTCCTCAAATGCAACTCAAATGTTGAAACGGGCCCGGAGGATCAGATGCCATGGTCGCTGACTAGGATCTGCGCTGGAATACTTCGAGACATACTTACACCGTACACGGGAGATGGAGAGTCGGGGGTTTGGAGAACGTTTCACGTATGGCGCGTGGATGGGGTGCGGTAGTTGGAAGAGCCTAGCGAAGTATAAGACTGGCCACCAGCCCCAGAGCCGTTGAATGCCATTGCGGTTCGGGGAAAGAGGAGGGCGGCGAGAGGGACTCCCGTAGTATTTGGCGACAGTGGGCTGGGTATAATGGACGCGGGGAGAATCTGACGCTTGAGGTATGTCCATCATTGGTCGGTTACGAGATATAGAGCCAGTTGGAGACGATAGGGCGAATGCGGCAGGAGAAGAGACGTGGAGTCGGCGAAGACACCCAGGTCAGCTATTGTTCGCCTCTCGCCTGATCCTCCCATTTTACTCGAACAGCATCAAGACTGTTCGGTTGTCGAGTCGAGCTGGGCGGTAGAGCACCCTTGGGCTGGGTCAGGATATCCATTCCTTTTCAAGTTGCTGCGCGAGAGAGGCAGGCTCCGCCGCTACGGGACGCGCTCCAAAAGCCAAACGTGGGGTGCACATTCAAGTTGTTCACGGATCACGGGAGCGTGGACTGTGTGACCGTGTGACTCGCCTCCTTGCAATTTCCCTTATGCCAGACATCATCGACCTTACGCGCGAACAGTCCCTGCCCCCGATCGCCGTCGTCAGCCCAGAGGCAAGAGATGAGAAGCGGAGGGACGAGGGGGGTGAGCAACGACGAAAACCACGAGGGGAACGGGAACGAGTAGAGCAACGCGACAAGGGACACAGAGACCGCGAACACAAACGACCTCGCGAATCCTCTCGCGAGCGCGACAGCGAGGGAAAACGCCGCAAGAAGGATCGCGGTTCCTCTTCTCGCTCCAGGAAAGAGGGGGAAAGGAAACATCGCAGAAAAGACCGCGAACCCTCTCGCGAGCGCGATCACGACAGAAAAGACCGCAGACATGACGGTTCTCCACTTCCCAAGGAACAACTTTTCTTCCTCGACGACAAACCGGCTCAACTGCCTGCTGAAGCCCGCTACACCCCGGCACAGGCGCAAGAGGAGGCATTGAGGGATTTGATTCTCCCCGCCCATGTGTCCGTCTTTGGCGAAACACCAGCTGAGATTCCCGTCGCGGAATCGGACTCGGACGGCGAGGAAGACTACATCGAGTACCTGGACTACGACAATCGCAAAGATTTTGTTCGCTATTACGAGGAAGAGAAACAGGAAAAGCGCGTCAAGATTGTGTGCAAAAAATGCGGAGAGGAGGGCGACCACATGGCGCGTGACTGCACTGTTCTCATTGTGAGTTTGCACTTGCATTCCCCGTATTCTCCATTCTGAAATATCAAAAGTGTTTAACTTGCGGGGCACGAGACGACCACCCAACCGCGCGTTGCGATATTAGCAAGACATGCTTCAGCTGTGGTATGAAGGGACATATCAATTCCAACTGCCCCAATCGCGGCGCTGGTTTGCACCTTGGGCGTGATGGGTGCGACCGGTGCCAATCGTCCAACCACCAAACCAGTGTGCGTGTTCGTATGACTGCCTTATCCGCCTGACTGAGAATTTTTTTTAGGAATGTCCGAGTTTGTGGCGAATTTACGTGTATGTGCAACCAGAGGACCGGGAGCGTGTGCTTCAAGAGCGAAAGGGCAAGCAGGGCCTTCGTTTAGGACAGGGCGGGGAGGGCTACATCGCGGACGATGAATGGTGCTACAACTGCGGCAGTGCGGGCCATTGGGGCGATGTAAGCAAACAGTACTTTTTTCTTTCTTCAGCAAATTGAGCCCGCCTCAGGATTGTGAACATTATCACCAAGACCAACTAGCAGATCGGACAGCTTTCAGCTATGATGTCCTTTCGACTGGGCCTTTCCCTCCCCCCAAACCCGGGTCCGGAAACCGTGTCCCGCGGGAATGGGAGCGGGACGTTCCCTTGCCCGGAGGAGTGGAAAAGGTCGGGCGGCGAGGCAAGAAGAAGGAGATGGAAAAACTATCGCGACGGGCAGAACAACTCGAGGATGCGGCTGATGACTGGTTTGAGAAGGCACAGAGTCGTCGCGACCGTCCCACCCCTACTGAGCCCCGCAAAATGGCTCTTGCGAAACCTGCAGCGCGTTCTTTTCAGTTTGGGGAGCCCAAAGTCTCGCTCGCAGACCGCTTGAGCGACGCGGTGCCCGACAAGCCACGCAAAGAGAGACGCGAACATAAGCACCACTCTGGCTCCAAGAATCGTGACGAACGACGAGGGAGAGATGACCGCGGGCCGCGTTACAAGGGTGGGTATGCTAGATAGCATTAGAACTTGGAATCAAAATGCCGTAACACACACACTCTCTCTTCCCTACCAAATGCTCGCAAGTCAGTTCAATCAGCTGCAGGCATTTCCTGCGGCCGCCATAGATTTCGCCACGCAGCGCAAACGAGCAGAGAAGAAACCCGTCCCAGTCCCGTCTGATGCAGAACCGGTTACGCCGTCGCTGGAATTGTCGCTGGAATACGCCTCTTTGTGGTCCGCTGGGCATTGTCCACTCGGCATCTACGTGGTCCCGTCGCCAGAGACGCTCATGGTCGGTCGAGTTGTGAATTCTGCGGTGAGACTGTTCTCAGTTGTAGGTGTGGGATGCCACCTTCTTCGTGCACCAAGGCTACTACGCGGACGCAATCTTCAAGTTCCGCCTCACTTTCCCAGTGACGTACCCTGCACAACCGCCTTCGGTCCACTTTAATGTTACAACCGACGTCGTCTTCCACCCTCTCATCTCTCACTCCGGAGTCTTCAATCTCGCTCCACGTTTCCGTCCATGGAGGTGCGTCTTTGTTCGCTGGTGTCAGTTGTCTTGAACTCATCAAGGACAGGCCAAAAGAGGTGTGTGTCAACCGAAGGGGAATAAATTATTCATATTCAAAAAACTATTCTAGCATCGAGTCTTCGATATCCTGCACTACATTAAGGCGGCGTTCAAGAAACATACGTTGGATGCACTGAAAGAATCGGAATGCTTCAACAAAGAAGCTTATAGATTGTGCGAATCGCAGTGGGTTTCTTTCAAACCGTGGTGCTCATGCAAGACAGATACCACGAGTCCACCTCGTCTTTCGCCAACCTCGCATCTCAATCTTCCATGCTGTCCCAATCCGCACCTGCTCTCTTTGGAGACCATCCACCGATGAAGGGCAAGCCCCGCGACGCCATGCCATTCCGCGAAATGTCAGCAGAGGAGCTGCAAGCTCAACGCACGAAACTTGGGCTCAAGGAATGGGCTACTTCATGATTTCTACGCTATTTAGTCGAGTATAGTTATACGATATTAGAATGGCCGTCTATGGGTCGTCGCTGCTATCCCCAGCTGCCGCCATGACCACCATGGGCGCTATGGGGCCCGGGACATCGGGACCGGTGTCATCGTCCTAAGAAATGTTATTATGTTCAAAGAGGATGGTCAGAGTAGCTCACATCGGTCAATCTATGGAAATGTTTGGATAACTTTTCCATGACCAACGAGTATGGTAGATGTTGTGTCAGTTTCCTGCCAAAAATCAGTAAACGGCCCGTGAGGCGAGAACCGGCTCTTACTTGCGTGCTTGGACGTTGAGCGAGTGGCGCGCGTCTAGGGTAGAATCTAAAACATTCGAAGAATGGGCACCCTCGCTCAGGGACAGCCTGATCGAGTATTCCTTGTCCGATTTGCCTCGGCCGTGATTCCGCTCATAGAGCTGCATGACTTGTCAACACAGTAAATATTAAAGATCAAGTAAACCTCACCTCGAACGTGATGCTCGACTATTTTCGTCAGTCAAGTCAATGGAAGAGGTCAAGAACATACACAGTAATCGAGCTCGGGAATGCGTCGATTGGCAATCGGAAGACCAGATTGCAAGACGAGATTGACGAGGGTGTGGATATGACTCTCTTTAGTGAAATAAAGTGTCAAAGAGCTGCCACCATTGTTGCGTGCCGTCTCGAGATCCTCGACTACATTGCGGAGAAGAGGAAGCGAGGTGAGGACACCGATTTCCTCCTTTTCCTCCGGATCGATCCCGTACTCTTGAGGCGCAACCAGATCGAACAACGCCTTCGCACGACCGTACAGCTCGTGAAGCTTCCGGTCCCGCGACGGTTGAAGGGGATCCGACCCGCCATTCTCGTCAAAGATGGCGAATAGGAAAGTCCGGTGGTGCAGCGCACAATACTTGATCGTGTCGTAAAGCTCCGAAACCCGAGAAGGATCAAACTTTTTCTGTTCAACGTCGCAAAAGTCTTCAAACAACTTTTCCCATCTCTCCCGGAACAGCCAAGGTTCGTCTCCGCAGCA